GACACATTCAAGTTCCTCTCACTGTCACCTCAAAGCCGTGAAAATTTGGTGTTAATCCGACGACAATAAGTATGCGTTATTTTTTGTTAAAGACCTTGTATTTTGAAAAACATAAACTCCTAGAAAACGTCCATGAAGTAACAGCAAAGATTTTCAAGCTTGTTTATCGGCACAATCAATTTGTTTTCCCATCAAGGTCTGCTTTAACATGTGTAGGGGGACATCCAAATGTGTAAGGCTATTGGAAACCAAAAAAATATAGGAATGGGATAGCTATAATTGGATAAATTCGGCATATGAAATCACCAAAATCAATGATTTTTTTCAGTGGCTGTGTGACCTTGTGTCTGAAACATTCATATGCAAATGACTAATCTGTGAAACAAACAGGGGCGGAGACAAACCACTCAAATGTTTGGAAACACTCCCTAACATTGCTTTGTCTTGAGTTTATCTTTGAAACTTATAGGCACACAGATTAAACCTGTGTTGTTGATTTTGGAAAACACTTCTGAGGCTGCCTTGCTTCCCTTCAGAAAATCTACATTTTAACCAACTTACATGACATTCTATGTTCTGTTGACTTTATCACATGAAAGTTTATAGTGCATTTCATCAATTAACAAATAAATGTGAAAATCGTAATTTTCAACACAAATAATAGTCTCACTACCTTAAGGAGTTTTTAGCAAAATTAAAGATTATAATATCATACTTATATTATTATGGGTTCATGCCGTAAGAATACAGAAACTGGAAAAAAAATCACCGAAAATATAATAAGTGTCTGAAATGTCATGAAAAATAGCATTCTTACACTGGTACCTATGACAGGATTATTTCTTCATATCTCAAAATTTTGCAGTGTCATAGAATGAAAAAGTTATTATTTTATATAAATCCCAAAACGACGGGAGATTTATAAACCAAGCCAAGAATAAAGTACTATGTTAATTTACACATTGGTATATTTTTTTTTTTTATCTGAAATAAAGGCTAACCATTATCAACATTGTTTTAGACATTTTCCTTGAACCAGCATGGATAAACGCCACAAATATTAAGGCTACCGCAATAGAATGCAAAAAGGGCATAGGAAACAATTTCGCTAACAGGGTTCTAGCACTGTGACATCAACAATAGAAGGGCAGTATGCAACACTCTTTTAACCTGGGGGAAAAAGTTTTTATCTGAACGAGTGGCTGCTCATTTTCTTATGTAGCTACATCGTCTATTAATAGCATAATCACCACGAACAAATTTTTTATAGCAATATACATTTTAACTAGTCAGGGAAACCCACAATTTATTGTAAGCAGTGAATTGTGGTTTTTTTTCATGAAAATTTTTTTGTGTGAAAATGTAGCACTTGAGAATTCTGATTTTATTTTTAACACTATTTACTGTAAAATACTTTATTTTTGCTTGGAGTTTACTTTCGCTAAAGCAATGATTCATTGAAAATAAAATCCAGTGAATATACCTTTTTTTCTTATATTTTACATTCAACTTGTCAAAAATAAATTCCATACAAAGTATTTTCAGCGAAAAATTAATTCCAGCTAAAATAAAGTATTTTACAGTAACTGTACTACGGCAAAATGACAATTGAGAGAATAATTTGATCATTCATAAGAAAAATTTATGTTAGGATTTTTATGAGAACTTGATGGTATGAGTACGTGTATATGGAAAATATTTGATATTGTTTTTCTGAATTACAGCAGTTAACCGGAATTCGTTAAGCTGAGACGATTTACAAATTTTTGTGAAATACTTCACGTGATACGACCACAATAAAGCTTCTAAACACATAACTACCCTATATTTATTGAACTTTCTCAAATTTTTAGCTCCGCGAGCAGACACGTAGTTTCTTCTGTGAATTTCCAAATTTTCAATACTTACAGGTGCTGATCAAAATGAAATATACAGACGTATTTATAAACATATGGGCAAAGTGACGATGTTGAAATTGTGGTGTAAAACGTGTTCTATTAGAAAAGACCGCCAGAAGCTGTCGTAGCACTAAATAATTAACATTTCCACCAAAAGGTCGACTCGACTGTCAGTCTGCATTATTCAAATTGCAGTCTTGTTTTCCCATAGGTAATTATTTCAAATCCTCCAAATACTCTACTTGTCTGACTTAGCAACCAGGGTACTCCGCTCAAGAAATTATTGAAATGACAATTTTCGCTCTTTATGTGCCAAATTAGAAGAAATATATTGTGTCCTTTGGGGAAAATAAAATTGCGAAATGAGTCGTAATTAATTTCAACAACATTTTTTACAATGAAACAGAAATGTTCACAAAAAATACACACGTTTTATTACAATATTATTTATGTACCATCAGAATTTACAGTGTAAAAATAATCAGGGTGTGTGGGAAAACAGTCAAAGTCAAAAGCTTCTTCATTATTTTTGTAGTTAAATGTTCGATTACATGCAAACTCTTGATGCAAAACAATTTCTGAATGATTTGACCGACGTCAACACCTCCTGACCCGACAGGTCAAGTCTGTTATTAAGCATTCAGTGTCATACTGACGTAATTTTCCAGGAATTTCCCAATAGTGACAATCCTCGGGGGCGGACATCCGGGCATTTTCACCGCCTGGCAACCCGCGGCGGTGAAAACAAAGGCCCAAAACTCGCAGAAAACGGTACTTCGGGATGATTGTTGAGACTCCTCTGAACAGTGCAACAAAATTAGCCCTACGTGTGTAACATATATAAATTTGGTTGTTCGGGATTACTTTAAAGTTGAGTTTGTGTTGTTTTCTCGAATTTTCATCGGCTCGACCGGCGTTCCACAGCAGCGCGCACAGAGCCCATAGAAATGCATGTACAGTGGTGCGCGTCTTAGCAACGTGGAACGTCTTGTGACGTAGCACCGCCCCGAGGATAGCATTTTCTACAACCAAATGTGGAAATGAATTGCAGATGTTAAA